GCAATAGGCCACAGCCTCAAACTACCAAAGGGATGTTCTGAGTCATTGCTCCAGTGTGGTACATTCCATCTTAACAGGGGGATGTCCAAGCAACTCCCACCCCTCCTTGCCTCCTCTTGCACGTTTAGCATAATGCTCGCACACATGGTTCAAATTATAACCCTTTGCAATTAAGCCAGATACACTTATGGCTCATACTTACTAAACATGTTAGCTTCCCCATCATTCTCCAGTTTGGCCTCCATGGTGAGCTGCATTTCTTCAGCGTCTGACGGATCCTTTTCTGTCTTAGGGCAGTGACCGATCACTTCTTCAAAAGGCTCCAGATACTGAAGGGGAAAAAGGGGTGAATTTTATTAAACAATGATCAGGCACAGGGATCAAAGATGTGATTTACCTGCGTTAGGCCATGCTTAGTGAACAGAAATGGCAGGTCCAGTCCTTGGTAGTGGCAGTTTAGGGCTCAGAGAGAACTACAGAAGTATTGGGAATGGTAGACTGGCTAGAACACATAAGCGTGTGCTCTAATGGAGGGCCGTGACTCCTCTCTCCAGGAGTGACATCAGCGCTGGTCCAAGATATATTATGTTGCCTGTGATCGTTCCTCCCATTCCAGGTACAGAAACCAACCACAAGGGCAGACAAATGTTACTTGACCATCACAACTGAAGGCAGCAAGCATTCTCAGGAGATGCAGAGGAGGCCTGGCCCGAAATGCCTGACCACTGGTCATGTGGTAGCAAACAGAGCACTGCTCAAGAACACCACAAAATCACAATCTGCTTCATCCTATTTGTTATCACCACCAGCAAAGAGCAACCAATGCAACTGTGTGGCAAACTGACACACATTAAGATGTCAGACACCAACCACCTGCTTCTTGAAGCTCACAAACAATGCCATTCTCCTGTTTCACCTTGAATTACGGGGACAGATTGCCTCGGCAACTGGAGACAGGCACAGGACGCATAACCCAAGGGAGATAGTGATGGAACTGGTACAGGTGCCTTTGGGTCTTCACGATTTACCCACCTGCCCTTCTTTCCTCCCCCGCTCCTGAATGAAATCCTCAGCCAGAACCACCGCCTGGGCGCAGGTCTCTGGACCACCTTGTCAGACCCGACTCTGTACTTCTGCAGGCAGGACCCTCAAGAACTGCTCCAGCGTGATCAGCTCCACGATCTGCTCCTTGCTGCGCGTCTCCGGCTTCAGCCACTGACGGCACAGTTGCAGAAGCTGCCGGCAAACCTCTCGCGGCCCTTCGGCCTCCCAGTAGCAGAACCGCCGGAAGCGTCGACGATGCACCTCCGAGACGATCGAGTCGTCCTCATCCAGTTCTTCCTTTACCGCTGCAGAAGAATCTGGGCTGATGCCCCAGACCTTGTGAGCTTCTTTTGTCCAGCTTGGCAGGTTCTGGATCCCACACTCTCCTCCAGGCCAAGGGGCTGCTTGAGCCGTTCCCTGGAAGGGGGACTGAAGAGCAGTCGGACCCTCTCCTAAGCGGGAAGGGGGCGGCTGAGGGTATTTCCTTCCCAAATAGGGGGCCTGCAGGCTCTTGAGGAACTCCTGCCACTGGGCCTCCCAGCGCTGCTGCCGTTCTTCTTCCTCCGGCTCCTGCTTGATGGGCTTCAGAGCCATCTCAGCACGAAGCTCCCCTTCGCTCTCGCTCTGAACAGCGTGGTCGCCTCTTGGTCCCACCTCTCTTCTCTTCCCTTCTTCAGCTCTGCCCAGGTCCTCCTCCTCCTCCATCATTATTCCCTTCGTTTCTGTGAATTACAGCGGAGGGTTACAAGCAGAAGAAACCCGTTCCATCCCACTGTGTTTCTGTTCAACGGAAATGTCTCCCCGCGGGGGAATGTGGGACCACGCCATTGGTGGGTGGCTGCCACGGCACAAGCGGAGGGCATCTTCTCTCCATAAAGATTACCACCTCTGTAATGGCAGCAGTAGATCATGGTGAGCAAGATGTGTCCACAGTTTTCATGTGACCCTATGGGGACCTCCCACAGCCCCCTAAATAAATTTTAAGTTTAAAAAATGCTCAAAAAGTTCCTTTTGGACTCTGTTTTCTATACTTCCAAGACTGCCCTCCTTCCTTTTCTTTTTCCCACCTAGAATATTCTTTGAGCGAAATCCCCTATGACTTGATAGCACCATGCATTTGCAATTTCCTGCCTTTTTTACTCCCTTTCCCAATTTTTTAAGGTGTTGCCCATCGGTTGAGGCCAGAGGTGGTTTTATTCTGGTGGGAATCAACGTGGCCTCGCCCACTTTGGGGCTCTCCCCTTCCTTCCTTCCACTCACCTTCTCCTTGCAGCGGTTGCCCCGAAACCTTCGGGCTGCCTGCGCGGCTCCTGCCCTTGATCCCGACCTGGACACCAAGAGAGAAAATACCCCAAAATCAGATTTCTCTACCAAGCGAGCCAGGCGGGAGAACCGGAAGCAGGAAGGAACCGTCTTCCGGTTCGCATCCGCCCCTCCTCCCTTTCATTCCCGAGGGGGTTTCTCTAGGAACCACAGCTCTGTCTCTTTAACCCCTTTCGAGCCACTCATAGAAAATTCGACCCTGACCCTCCTTGGCTTCGGGGGAGGGGGAAAATAAGTGGCTTGAATGGGGCACGACAGTGGACATTATTTTTAAAAAGAAGATGTTCTGAAGGGGGGAAAATGGTCTCAGTTATAACTTGCTTGCATTTTAATGCTTCTTAAGGGCTGCATCGCCTATCAATTGTATTAAACTGTCCAGAGATGGGACACCGCAGCTGAAGCCATTACTGCAAAAGGCCAAAGGAGAACCTGCCTAAGATATTCTGCTGTCTGAGGAGAAGTAGCAGCAAATGCTGCCCTACTCAAGGCACAAAATGCCCCAAACTCTCAGGACATTTCAGTTAATCATCTTTAGATAA